TGTTGTTGTTGTTGTTGAAATAATTGATTACATGACTAGATCGAGTCCGCGCCAGTGCGGTGAATTGAAAGCACATAGAAGAGAGACACCGTTCTAAGAAAAAAGGCTTTATTTCTAATATCGGCTCGCCGTGTTGCAAGTGCCCAGAGGACTTCACCGGCTTTGACCCACGATTTTCAGAAGACATAGGAATAAGTTGGCAATGTCGATCCAGAGCTGAATGGCCCCCAAGAGATGTTCGCTTTGGGAGAGTCGCACGCGGCCGCCTCCCAGAATCATCTGCGTGTCGTACAGCAGGTACATCGAGAAGAGGAGCACGAAGACCGAGCACAGAGCCAGTTTGATGATTCTGTGGGGGAAATTCAGAGGAAGGTTAATGTATGAAGTAAATAATGATAGCAGACATTTTGAACGAAACTGACGTTATTGGATTTTATGGAAAAGAAGTAAGTTTCTCTACATTCCAAGTGATTTCAAGAATGGGAAACGAATCTTGGAAGAATTTAGAAGTAAGTTATAACAAATAAAGTTAATACAAAAAATACAGTTTTCAGAAGAAAAAGCAGTTAAAATATTTGACATTTTACAATTGTACATTTCATCCGTAGAAAATCTCACAGGCGGTACATTTATTTTGTTAATTTCATTCAGAACGCGTTACAACTAGTAAATTTAAGGAATGCATTCCCAGATGTAAATACAGTTTGTGCCAGAAAACACGTTACAAAATTCTCGGATATAGACAGGGGTAGAAAATTATCACTTTTGCCAATGAATATATAGTGGGAAATTACTTTTAGTTATTGTAGTGTGGCACTTGCCCCTGGTATTTAGGCACCCCGTTATACACAGATGTTCGGCGGGGACATAAATTCTTGATAGTGTTAGTGTTAGCACGGAATCTGCCAAATATCTGGATCAAAGTATTTGACTTAAGTCAGGGGCAAATACCACATGTATAAATGCATATAACTCTGTTATTTGCAATAGACCGGCATGATTGACAAAAAGTAACTACATTCTACCTTCATGTCCTAGAAGTTTGTAGCATTTATTCTGAGCATTCTCTAAAAGAAATATTCAGTGTCTTAAACCGATCTTCCATATACTTGGTTATAGTTTATTCTGTTGTGTAACTATGCATATACGGAATAATATATGTGGTACAAGAGAAAGTTAGGTAATATTAAAAACGACATACCCCCTGATATTAAAATGTACTTTTTTAACTTCTCTCTGTGAATACAGTTACATAATACAGTGAAGCCTAACTTAAGCAGACACCAATTGTTCTTACAAAAAGCTTCTAATAAAGGCGGCCGCTTAATCAAATTTATAAGATTACTGAAAGCGAAAATCAAATCATAGTGTGTTAATTGCCATGAAAAAGTATTTTCTCTTCGGAATTTGTACTTATTAATGACAAAATATAACAAACATTTAATTTTGGTTCATTTGCTTCCTCTCACCTAATATAAAAAAGCCTTAAGATGCTACTCAGTATTTTAATTGAGAAACTTCCTTTCCTTCCTAATCGTATGAAAGAAGCAAACTAGACATGAAGATATAATATCCTGTAAAAACGTTACAGCAGGACTGTATGACGAGTGACCTCTATAACGGACCTCTTCAGAGATCAGATTCGCGCACGTGATGTGCTGATGGAGTCCTTGACAGATTCGCGGGGAAGAGAAGCACGTTGAGTAAACCATGGCAATGTTGAAAGAAACGAATGCTTTTCTTATTTTCTTTAAAATATTCTTACTAAGGCCATCTGCAGTTACACAAAGGTTCCTTCTGCAAAATAAGCGACTCATTATTTGAAGTACTCTGTCAATGCGTTCCGTTATAGAAAGATAACGTGCTTCTGGAAATTCTCTCCGAATCAGAGCCTCCTCTTATGAATTTAATTTATGTTCACCAGATACACGTGAATGGGACAACACGTCCGGCATTTGTTATGATTGTGGTTAGCACGCAATTGCGTTTCTTTTGTTGCAAGCTGAAGCTCATGCTACCAACATAATCTTAAAACAGTTGGCATAGCAGAATTTGCCTGTCGACAGGCCACCGAAGAGGGAATATTTACACCGTCTAATGGAAAAATGTTTTGGTTCCACGAAAATGGGTATTAGTTGAGGTTGCCGCTTAATCAACGTGGCAGTTTGTGCAGGTCCCACTACACTATTTCAACACACACTATACAGTACAATACTATTACAACACAATAATGATACTGATTAGTGTTCGTAAATGTAATTGGAGATCAGAGGTTCTCAAAAGTTTTAAGAAATTCTTGCGTGGCAGCCTCTTTACTATTTTTAGTTTTCTTGACCACCGTTTTGAATAAATTACAATTGGAATAAAGGTTACTTTAAGTGAAGCATTTTGTAAATTTCATTGAATATCTGAGGTGCATATTCTACGCAAAGATATGCAATATCGCGTATGTATATCCTGTCGTCCAGATACAGAATGTTCATAGACACTAAGTTTCTATTTAGCGGTTTATTTTTACTTGAATGGACCCTGGAATTTACCGTTACAACTTCTGCGTAAAAATAGTTTTATATCAAGGCCTTACATAACGAGTTTTTCTGTCACCAAATTGCCGTTTTGCCGCTGCATTACATAACTTTCTGTACAAAACATTTATTACTCCGTGCACGTGTACACGTGTGTATACGAGAAAGTAAATATGGCCATAATGTACTAAATAATCGTTTGGATGTGTGATAGAACTCTGTTCACATTGACTGAATGACTCCAGGAGGGACACTTACCTGCCTTGTTCGCCGCAATAGCCAAAAAAGCAGACAAGGAATATAACGAGGCCACACACCATCAACACGAGACTCGCGATGACGAGGTAGAATCCGTAGCCCGTTATGTCAAAGGTGCCGCAAAGAGCGATCAGTGTGACCGCCAGGGTGACCAACATGGTGCCCGCCGCAGCTATCAGAAGTTCGTCGATGGAGTGGAACGACGCAATACACGCGAGCATGAACCTGTGCGACAACATTAGCAACTTCATTGCTCAATAATTACATTAATATATTGGCAATAATATAATTACATATATAAACAATGTTTTTTACTAATTTTTGAAACCTGGCACACCTGATAGCCTATTTCGTAACTGTGCAGAATAAATCTTAACCTGCATCATGCAATGTTGCACAAAAAAACATCATTATATTAAGTTGTTAAATGCACCCCCCTAGTAGAGTGTTAACTCAACAGCGTCAACGCTACCTGCTGACTTGTAAACAGTCAGCTACCAACATCGCAAGGGCTTCAGTGTGATCGCCCCACAAGGCTTCTAATTGGCTGCATTTTTTTGTAGCGTTTTTCGATGCAACGCGTCTCTAAACCCCTGTTGGGCATACAGCGCCTGGAGTAATCCTCCGTTGTTCTTTTTCGTCAAGGTTTGTCACGTGGCAGTCAGTGCCTTTAATCCCTTCGGTCAGGGGCTCGGGACCATTGAGTAATCGGGGTTCCCAGACGGCCATGCGCCCACGAATCAGCAGTGTCTCAAAATGCGTGGTTTCTCCGTGGTTTCTCCGATATCCGAAATGCTGGAGCAGTACCATCACAAACGGGACACGGGCCGCGCGCGATCTTTACTTCCTCTTGTTTGTTCTATCCTCACCCCTTTCTTACACACACTCACACTTAGAAGCACTTCACCACCCCAGACCGGTCGGGAGCTTAGAGCTTGTCCCGGCAGGATGGTGCTACGCTGATGAGAGATACCTAGTTGGGGAAACCCCATTAGCAGTCGTAGGTTGGTGACATCTTCCTCGACCACCCCCGCCCAGCAAAACCAACAGCATGTACTACACATGTGGGACTTATGAGCCGGCCGGCTACGCCAATTTTCCACCTGGCGATGTTGCGTCGTTTGGTGCGGAGATGGAAACATCGACTTGCATCGAGCCTCTTGTGTGCCTTGGTGTATGCAATGTCTAGCGAACTGTAAGTCGCCAACAGGTCATGCCAGGTTTTGGGGTATTTAGCCTCACTTCAACCTTAATTTTCTTTGTGATGTGTCGACACGTATCTCTGCGTTTTCATGCCTTTAGCTAAAACCTTTTATTTATTTGTAAATATCAAGTGTTTCTGTCTGGGAATAGATCCCATAATTTAACTCAATGTAATTTAAGTAGCATGCAGTTTTCATTATTTCAAGTAATTTTTCATCATTAAACCACGACCCCATCATCAATTTTTAGTAATTAAATGAAATGAAAAAAGAATGTGTATGAATCACCTTAATTATACTTATTAGTTCTCCCAGAGTAAGAGCTGCTTAAATGTTAACTGTACTAATTCTTAATTAATTATATTACTTATTAGTAAAGTAGTTACATGATTGTAATTTCTCAGTCCATTTCATGACTATCTCTCCACACGACCTTCAAATAAAGTGAATAGTCGCGGATTTTGGAAATCTGAAGCAAACAAATTCCTTATTCATTGTTGCCCTTTATGCCGAATATAAGGATGCGTTCTTTCAGATTTTTCGCGAATATCTCCAAATATCACGGAGGGAAATTAGCCGCCATGCATCTGAGTTTTTAAAAGCCCGTACCAACTAAACCTACTAAATTCACTTAAAATTCATTCTCACGTTGTCCCGGCTTTAAACTTAGTGAAGTACGTAAGAGATCCGATACTAAGTGGTGGGGCAGTACGGATTGAGGAGTGAATGGCGTGGAGCAGAGAGATCGTGGCGGAGGGGAATTACTTCTAATTTACTGTTATATTTCTTCCAAACAATTGGTTTCAACAATTCGGACGAATATTTATTAACAATCAAACACTTTACAGCGCGCATTGCATCAATACGATTTGCTTCTGATTAAATCAGAGTTGACAAAGATAACGTCAAGTATTTTATCCTTTTATAATGTCGACAACTCCTCATTGCCACAATTTAACACTGTTTAGTCAATATTGTGATATTTTCCAACTGTTTTGTAATTTGTTGTGCTATCAAAGACAATAAAATGAAATATGTTTATAGAAATCTCATTATGGACCGAGTCATTATGTGTGTCACATGAATAGCTTTAAATCACATATGTTTGATAGCAGAGAACGCATTGATATTCCTCGCTAATAAGATTATTGTGTTAAATACTGAAGCAAGGCAGGGAAACCCGTTAATGCTCGTACACAATACCTTGTTAGAAAGCCCTCTCAATTACGAGATGTAAGTGCGTAGCTTTCTTTCAACGAATGGTCTAAGTTACAGTGACCACAATGTACATTTTATATAATTATAAATAACATGAACTCTGACACAATAAATAAACAACGTATGTGGTTGCGTAGGCTTCCGCGGCCGGAGTTTATGTTGGCTGGGCTATCCGGGACAAGCCGCGTCGATGTCATGGTGGCAAACGTTTCGGCCAGCGTATTGTGGCCTCACGCTCTGAAGAAGGCCACAATACGCTGGCCGAAACGTTAGCCACCATGACATCGACGCGGCTTGTCCCGGATACCCCAGCCAACAAACAACGTATGTGTAGAGTGTTTACTAAACCATACATATAAAACAAAACCAAGCTCTATGCTTACATACCCCATGCTAATTGCTAGTAGAGCCACCATGATGTAGTTGTAAGGAAATGTGTGCCGAACAACTCGGCAACAAACAAGCGATATGTAAATGATAAAAAAGAAGATGTAGCTGCATATGTATATGATCAAATGTCTTTGAAAGAATGCTCTCGCTCCGGGGATAAACAGAGCGCAACATATGATTCCGACATCCGCCAACAACATAAGCGTCAGAGTGAAATAAACTTTTCTCACAAACTCCAGGCGTTCTTCCTTCGTCTGAAACACAACGAGTCATTTAATTTGCTTAGAAGCTTTCACGTTACCATATTAAAAACAAGAAGGCACTTTTCGGGGGATAAAAATAAGACAAAAAGAAACATGTCCACGTTTCGTAACAAAGAGATGTGCCAATACAATGTTACGGCGAAACCTCATTTACTACACAGTAGATTGTAGAATAATTTTCTCATGTTCAATCATCTGGTCCGGCGCAAGTGGCTCAATGCAACCATTCGTTTCACTTCAGTGCCTCTGACCGAGAGAGCCTCGGGATTTCAGTTCCGTCAGAGGGACGGGTTTCGAAGCAGACGACGTCTGGTCGGCTGCGCTCATCGGTAGCTTTCCGTAGTTTATACAATCAACAGCAGGCAAATGCAGGGGCAGTATTCAAAGAAACGGGCCACGGAGGGCCCGATGCTCACAACTTACTCTCACTTAAATGCACCACACCACCGAATATGTCGGGGCCTTAAGAGCTCGTTCTGGCTGAGGCGATGGCAAGATACCTGGAGAGGAAAACACAAGCCACAAGATGTGTTGGTCGGCACCGGATGTCACTATCCAGCGGGGCAAGAACACCGTGACCCCATATTGAAACACGTATTTCACTTACGGGACTAATATCTATAGCAGTTCACGCAAAAACACGAAATTATTAGTCAATAATTTGATTATCCGGAAGCTTGCATGTCAATAAGTAAATTCGGAGACAAAATGTTCTAATTACAAAAGAAACAAGTGATGCTACTGAATTGCAAAGACTTTCTCGCGCTACTTAGTTTTCTATTTTCTTTGGTATGGATTAGGTTTTCGGTTCTACTTCACCTTCTTTCCATCTGAAGTCTTCCATCGCTACCCAAAACACATTTTTTCAAGCGTTCGGTCCCCTAACGGTAGAACTGAAACATGACTTAAAGAATATGGTAGAAGAGTGAAACCTCGTCACTTACGTAAATTTTCCTTGAAAAATTTGGAGCCGTTTTTGAGAAAATGTCGTTTAAACCTTTCCGAAAATGCGAATTTTGTTACTCATTTTCACACAAAACTTGTAAGTTTTCGAGAAAATGCATAGGAAATAATTTGAAGTAATTGCACTCCCAAATACAATAATGTATACATATTGCTGGTAATGTAAATACACTGGCAGAAAAAGTATTGCAAAACCCCTGATTGCATTCTACAATTTTTTCTTCCCTACAGATACAACACATACAGACAGAATACTACACATGATTACATGGGCAGAGCCATCTGAGACTTGCAGGTCCAGCAACAGAGAGAACCAGGAACGGGAAACGCCACATCAATACTGCGTGTAGGCGCCGCGGGCAGTACGACTCGCCCTGATGGGCTGGCATCCCTTCGAATGGGTGGCGGGTAGTGCCCAGCGTCACACTGCTCCTCGCCCCCTGCACCGCCTCCCGCAGAGCAGGCCGAGTTGTCGGGGGAGTCGCGGCGCGGATCAGGCATCGGCCCATAAAGCCCCACACATGGTCGATCGGGGACAAATGCGGCGAGCGTGCCGGCCAGGGCAGTTGACGAACACCGCGGAGAGCGTGTGGCGGAGCGCGGGCAGTTTGAGGGCGGACTTTGATCCTCTAGAACAGCGGACCACCTTCCCGTTGCAAGAAAGGTTTCAGAACAGGCCTCACAATGTGCTCGATGTATCCAGCGCAGGTCAATTATAACTCCGCGAACACCAAAGACGAACGCGAGTTGTAGCTGTGGATACCCTACAACGTCAGTCGCGGGGCGGGCCCTACGTGACATGGACGAACACACTCCGGACGCACGCGCTCACGGCCATCACTGGCGTGCAGGCAGAACTGACTCTCATCACTGAACACCACTGCACGCCATTCCGCACACCAACTGACCCGCACGTTGCACCACGCCAGACGAGCACGACGATAGTTCGGCGTGTGTGGCAGTCGGGCTAGCGGTATGCGCTATTGTACTCCTGCAGCAAGAAACCGGCTCTCAGCAGTTGCGGGCGGCGTTGGTGTAACGGTTAGCATATCGGAACCGACGGGTGCAATCCCAATCGACCATGGATTTTTAAGGGTGTGAAAAAATCCTTTGTAACGCCTTCCTTCGGAGGGAAGTAAACCGGCTGTCCCATGTTAGTAGATTTATTGTAAAAGTAATCTTCAAGCCTAAATTGACGGCCCTGAGCTAAATTCAAATCGGGCCTGTTTTCTCACCCAAAAAATTACCTCATTTCTTCTGCTAGTGGATAAGGAGGCGTAGCGAAATTGCAGCTAACCGTTTACACCTCATGGCCTGAGTTGTCGTCAACGTAAAATACGGCTTCATATACACTCGTATTTCGGCGCGGGTAACGTACGGTCTGGAGAACCGCCGCCTTTACGATGCGTTTGAAGTTCAGTTAATTTCTTCGCGGTCGCTCGCGAAGTTCGTCTCGGCTCATGTGGAAAGCTCGTCTCCCCTGCGTCGCCAGCAGCACGCCACACGACGTCGCCCGAGTTCAAGGCGCCACGTAGGATCAGCAGATGCAGCGGATTTGCGGCAAGGCCGACAATCCGACCTCGCTCACAACTGGTCGCAAATGGCTTCAAGCACAAAAACGACGTGCAGCGCCATGGCATACCCAAGTCCCATACTAGCCCTCATCGCATGCAGGCCAAGCACCTTTCAGCTGGAGGAGTAGGCCGGGCCATGTCATCAACGCTCGTCTATTTCGTCAGTCATGCGTGAAATGTTTAAAAACGGCTTCTACAACATTCCCATCGCCTACTAGATGCCTCGTGCCTTCCAATTATGCAATACGTTTTTGCCGCACAGTGTATTAATGCATGTAAAGAGATTGCAAAAAAAGTTACACTCTTGTGTATTTTTGGAAAATAACAACACAAAGAATTGAGCAAAATAGCGTTTTTCGATTTCGAATCTATTTCAAGATTTCAACAGAAATACAAGTTTTGAGAAACCCCTAAAAAGGAAAAAGTTGTTTTTTTTTCAAACTTCTCTTGTCAGTTCATCGTCATTGTTCCACTAGAACTGGAATTGAAGAAAAAATCGCGCAAGACACCGCTCTACGAAACCAAGAAAACTGCTGAAAAAATTTCGGAATTAGAAAACTAAACTGATGACGAGAGAAAATTTTCAGAAAGTAGCTGAAGGCATTGAGAGAATTATAACGCTGATGATTTTTTGCTGAAAGTGTGCACAAGGCGGTGGGAACACGCAAAGTGACCAAGACAGGACCGCAAACAAATATATGCCAAAAGTTCATTCACTGCACAGCTACATAGTTTAAACTAAAGAGAAACGGTTTAACATTTCGAACTGGTCTTTGATTCTTTTCCCGAGATTTTGACATAGAGAGCCTGAAAGACCGTCCCCGCTGTGCCCGTGTGGTATGTCAGAAGAAACTACTGCACACTTGTGCAACTACACGTTACTCAAACGGTAGACGATGTCATTTTCTTTAAATATAGAACCAAGATTATCACTTTTTTCGCTTACCAAAACGGAGTTTTCCTGCCGCAGAAAATGACCTAGTTCTGCTGCATGGTTTGCAATGCTTTTCGCCGTTACAACGCAAGTATGTTTAAAAAAGTTGAACGAAAACGAGGACCTTCACCATTCTTTTTAAACGTCCGTTCTTTTATCCGGGAAAAAACAAAAATTGGAAGCACTTTTAGAGAAAATTGCATTTTTTCTTCATACTGTTGCCATTAACTTCAAGCAGAATTTGTTGCAAAAAAACTTCTTTTTTCAAAAAACTTTGATGTTATGCACCATCATAAAAACAAAGGATTTTTCAAAACAGTTTTTTATGTAAGAGAAAATATGTATCTTCAGGATTGTACCTTTGTAACGTACTTTTGAATATTTTGCCGGAAAATACAGAGTTTCCCGAAAATTGGACAAGCAGCTAATTTTATAATCTATCTTTTATACATACTAGAAAAAATTTTTGTGCCTTTGGAGAATATATTTTCGAAAATTGTTCATGACCTTATTTTTAAGATGTAAAAAAAATATTTCATTGAACCAATCATTATTTTCAATATTGTAGTTGTAGGCGGAAGTAATTGAAAATAATTGAAGTAATAAGTAATTACGTAATTACATTAGTAATGTAGTAATTAAAAGCGGAGAAAAGCTTCGTGTTGTTGTGGCACCACTAGTTTATTTAAGAGATATTAAAGCAGAAAAGAAACTAAGTACGAGAAAGTCCTCAGCCATTCTGAAAGAATCACTACTTTTTAATGGATCTATCCAAGGAATACACTACGTGTATATTGATATCTATTAATATATTAGTATATTATTATTATATTATTATATTATTATTATATTATATTATATATTATTATTATTATTATGTTATTAATACATTTAATTAATTAAATAATTAAATAAAGGAATTGATCAAAAACAAAGTTGTCTTAAATTTTCGTCTAATGTCCAGAAAGTAAAACATCAACTCCAAAAATTTTAAATAACTTATATTTCCCCAACTAACAAGTAAACGATCAGCTTCCCAAGCGTTCATACAACGTTGATTCCAAAAACGTCAGTAAGAAACAAGTAATGATTAATGCTAAGGATAAGTCAGATAAAACACAATTGAAAAATATAATGTACAAAATCTCGTGTAGAGACTGCGACCTTAACTGTATAGGGAAGGCTAAAAGGAAACTTAGCGCAAGATTAAGAGAACATAAAAACCCTTAAACAAACAAATTTCTCTTTCCGACCATAGATTGCAACGTAACTCTGTGCTTTTCTTCATTGTTATCTAAAATTTAGATTAGAATAAATAAAAGGTAGGAACTTCTTTAGGATAAGATACTCTCTGCTTAAATCGGTCATTACTCTCCTCTACTCCTTTCCAGTTCTGCCTTTTCCCTCTCATTCTTTCGATCTATCTGGCATTCGCATGTTGTTGATCGGAGAAACCACGAAAAACTACCTATCACAGCAGCCTGTCGCTAGAATTCTCCTCCCGACAGGGGCTGAACTCG